GAATCACGACGTCGGGGGTCTGGGCTTCCTCCTTCTCCGCTCTCCGCTCTCCGCCTTCTCCCTCGCTCGCCCCATATCGTCCTCAGGCTCCTCATCTTCCCTCCTTCCTCCTCCACCCGCCATCGTCCCCGTCCTTCCTCCTCTTCCCTCCTCCGCCTCCTCCTCCTCCCTCGTCATCCCTCCTTCCCTCTGTCTTTACAGTTACACGTATTAACCAGCTTGGGCCCCAAACGATATGCGTGTGTGTCTTGAAATCTATGTGGCGCAGTTCATTAGGAGCAATCTATGTGGTGTTACCCGTGTGGTGCAGTCTATGTTGGGCAATCTATGTGGTGCAATCTATGCTGTGCAGCCAATGTGTTGCAAGCTATCTGGTCCAACTCGCGCTGCCGAGCTTGAAGCTGCCAACTTCACTACCCATTCCGCTCACCCACCCCCAACTTTGTTTGCAAAACCCATGCGGCGGCGACTGCGATGACTGCTTGGCGCTGGCTGGCGCAGTGCTGACGCCGCGCTATCGCGCCGAGGCTCGCGCGCAGAGCGGCCAGCCAGTCTGGCGCGACCGACGCGGCCGCGGTGGCGCTGACCGCTGGGGACTACCCGGCGCGTCTCGCACGCCGCGCTGACTCGCGGGCACTTCAGTGGGAGTCGGTGACTCGGGCGGTCGGTGGTTTGGGCGGGCGTGGTATCATGGCGATGTGAGCAACGTCAGAAGCGATGCTGATTATAGTGATGATGGTGCCGACGATGACGATGACGACGGCCACGCCAATGACGCTAATGCTGATCACGCCACTGACGGTGATGGTGTCCACGTGTCGGTGATGAAGGTTTTGGAAAGATTTCGACATGCGCGCGCGGAGGGCGCGCGCGAGTGCGAGTGGCCCGCATGGTGTCATTTTCCGCTTGCCGGGAATCGTGCCCCTCCCCCCCAGCACGTGCGCAAGAACTTTCGAATGATTTTGGCATGCGCGCGAGGGGCCCCGCGGTCGCGTTTGACGAACTTGTTGCAAAATTCTTCTCGATCTCCAGAGCCTCGAACATGTGTTGAACATTTGCTGAACTGTTTGTCCCATGGTTCTAACGAGCTCGCAAGAACGCGCGCAATTCTCGTATTGACAATTAAATTGCAATGCCCTGCTTCTCATGTTCCAGGAATCTCGAATCTGAAGTCCTTACGACACCTCGATTCTCGACCGATTTCGGCATGCGCGCGCGATGACGCGTGCGCGTGCACTTCGTCAATGTTTGCAAGTACCCTTCTTGCAAAAATTCTTGTGGAACTGATGATGTTGATCAACGAGTGTGCGCGCATAACGTTTGTTGCTGAGGATGATGGTGTGTGTGTGTTTTCGACTTCGGTTCGGTTGGGATGGCATGAATCAATAAGTTGAATGAGCGATGGGGCACCGGGGGAAAGGCGGGGTGCTAGATCCGAGTCCCGTTTATGTGCGATCTACGTGGTGCAATTCATTTTGTGCAATCTATGTGATGCATTGTAGGTTCTAGCGATCCGAAAGCGCGCTGCAAACGCGATGGTTCGTGCAATCTACGTGGTGCAATGCGGCGGCGGCGATGAGGCGGTGGCTGGGCGGTGACGGCGTCAACATAGCTGCCAAACCGGCCACATGGCCCAGACGGCGGGCGGCGACGAGGCGGCGACGGGGCGGCGACGGCGACAACATAGCCGCCAGACCAGCCACAGGGCCCAGTTCCATAAGCCAGAGGTAAGATTTCTCACATGCAAGCACTGATTGGGGAGGAATCTAAAAAGCTACTCTCCCCTGACTCTGTCCGGAAGATAACCTTGCCCTCTCTCCACGCTTGTCTACGCAAGATTTGCAACATTGATTGTTCTCAGAGTTGTTGCTATCTGATTGTTTCCGGAATTTCAACATGGCGTTCCCGCTGCAGCGTGGGCCTCATTTTCCGATCGGTGCTGTGCTCCCGTCGTTCAGAATGGTGCGTTCGCCCCGTCGCGGGCGATTTTTCCGGCCCCGAATCATTTTTCATCGCTGTCGCCTCCGCATTTCCCCTCCTCCGCCTTCCCCTGGTCCTCCTGCTCCCCCAGCCCCTTCCGCTCCAGCTCCTGCCGCTGCTGTTCGTCCTCGTCCTCGTCCTCCTCCCCCTCCTTCCTCATCCTCCCCCTTTCCCTCCTGCTCATCCTCCTGCTCATCCGCCACGTCCTCTTCCTCCTCCCCCCCTCCTATGCACGCATTACGCATGTCCGATGTTCCGATTACGCAAAACATTGTGTTCCTCTTCTGGGAGTTCCAACCTCCTATTCTCCTCGGCCTCCTTCCCCCACCTCCTCCTCTTCCTCCTCCTCCTCCTCCACCTCCTCCTCCTCTTGCTTCCATGTAGTGTTCCTCTGTGCTTCGGCCGCTGCTATTTTCCTGCTGCTATCCCGACTCGGTGCGACTTCCCAGGTGTCCTCCCCGTTCTCTTGCCTCCTCCTCCTCCTCCTGCCCCGCGGGCGGTGCCAGGGGGCTCGAGGCTCGGAGGAATCCGTGCAGTAATCGAGATTCGAAGATCAAGGTCTTTGAACGTTCTCGACCTTGTATGAAGTCGGGCGTGTCCCTCTGCAGGAGGAATATTCAAATATAGTTGAACAAATCGTATCGGGTCGATGTTTTGAGTATGTTTGAATATTCTTTTGAGTGCTTCATGACTCTTCTGTATTTTGCTCCCAAAATCCGCCTCTATAGGGGACATGTCCGACCTCAACCTTGTAACGCCGGCATGAAGAACAGGGGTCCTGAAGCCAACGGGTACGCGCCTTTTTGTTATGTTTGTCGGTCCCTTAGAGTCCCAGGCCCTGGGACCCGCAGGAAAAACAAAACGCAGTTTTTCTTCCCGTCGCAGCGCGGCGGAGGCGATCCGTACGCGCGCTCCAGCGGCCGGGGGGCGCGTGGCGCATTCAGCAACAGAAATTAGAGAGTTCGGGAGGAGAACCTGATCCTGGGGAACGCCCGGGGAGTCCAGGGCTCGTGTTTCCCTCGGGGCACCTTTCGGGGGTTCGTAGGGGGGGGGTCCCTAGGTGGGGTTCGCGAGCGAGCCCAGCTGCATGCTCACGCTCCCTGCTTCCAGGAGCTGTTTCGAGCGGTGTTTCTCCCGACCCCGCCTCGGCCCCTGCTCCTTCTTGATAACGCCCCCCCGAACTTCCGGCTCGTGGCATGGTGCCCTCGGCCTCTTAAAGATGGTGTCCGGGCAGGCGGGGTCGGAGGATCGCGCCGGCTCGATGCGAAGCCCGACTTTCGCCATGCCGACGGCTAGGGGGCCACATGCGAACCCTACCCCTACCCCCACGACTTCTGAGGGGGAGGGTGGGGCTCACTTCGCTCGGGAACGAAGTGAACCCCACCGCCCTGTGCTCGCAATGGCCAGCGGGCTCCGCAACATGCGCAAACTCAAGGTGTACGCGGCGCGCCGTGCCCTTGGGAAGTCGTGCAAGATCGTCTCGCCAGTGATTGCGATGACGTTCCAACCGTTTTGCAGGGCTCTCTTGAAGACGAAGAAGCTCAACCTCAAGAAGGAAGGCCGTGGAATAGGGAATTCAGTCGACCCCGTGTCCATGAGCTGATCAAGGCAGGTGGTCAGAATATTCAAATTTGCAGAGAGCTCTGGAGTAGTTTGTGGACGCGGGTTATGTGAATTCTCTTTTCGGCAGCCTTTCACAGGAGAAGGGCAATAGCTTGGACGGGGAGTGCTGGAACGCGCGCGCGAAGCGGATGTCCAGGAGCGGGCAGTGGGCCGACGAGCAGATGCTCCGCGCGCTGTCCAGGGCGATCGAACACCCGATCATCGCGTTCGTCAAGAACTCCAACCCTGGCCACGAAAGGTTCTTCGCCCGGGTGCGCGGCGAGCGAAGAAAGCCGAGGGGCATAGAGACTAGTTCTATATTGCTTGGGCCAGGGCGGGCGCCGTGGCCCCCGCCCCCCCCCCCCCCCCCTTATGGCGCAACGTTCCCCCCCCCGGCGCGCTCCGGGCACTGCCGACGCGCGCGCTGGTATCCGCGCAGGTGTCCGCGTAAGAATCCGCACGGGAGTCTGGTCCGCAGTCGTCGTCGTCGTCGTCGTCGTCGTCGTCGTCGTCGTCGTCGTCGCTCGCGGCTCGTCGCTCATCGTCGTCGTGCGCGCGGACGCGGCTGGAGCCTGCTATTCGCCCGGGCCTATCGCGGCAATCATTTGAGGGGGCGTGGAAGGGGGTCGACGACATCGCGTTTCGCGCTGGCGGCGTCTGGGAACGCCTAGGAATGTCGGAGGACGGGTGGCGCCAGCGCGCAGGTGGCGATCTGCGCCGCAACGCCTGCGTGCGCCGCAGTTCCTGCGTGCGCCGCAGCGCCTGCGCGCGCCGCGTTGCGCGCGTGCGCCGCGGCAGCCGCGCGCAACGCAGCGTCAGTTTGTGCCGCCGTGCTCGCGGGCAACAGCTGTCGCGTTCGCCGCGGCGCCCGCGTGCACCGCGTCAGCCGCGCGCAGCGCAGCGCCGGTGTACGCCGCAATGCCTGCGTGCGTCGCCGCGCCTGCGTGCGCCGCGGCGCCTGCGTGCACCGCAGCAACCGCGCGCAACGCAGCGCCGCATTTGCACGTCGAACGTTCGAAGGAATCCACGCGGCAAAATGGGGCGCCTGTGGGTTCCTCAGAAATCAGCGCAGAGGAATCCTGGACGAAGGGGCGCCTCTGGAATCTACGAGTTCCCCCGAGTCCGCCCGCGTCGCCCTGAGTTCCCCCATCTGCGCCCAGGAGGCCCCAGCTAAATTGGCCGCGCGAGAACCGAGTGGACCGATTCAATAAACCGTTATGCGGTGCGTTGCGCGCTGAATTGCGCACGCGCGCTGTAGCGCCACCCCGCGCGACAGGGGGCGAGGAGGAGGAGGAGGGGGAGGAGAAGGAGGAGGAGGAGGAGGACGACGAAGAGGAGGAGGGGGAGGAGGAGAAGGAAGTGGAGGCGGAGGTGGAGGAGGAGGGGAGAGGGACAAACATCGCATTCGATTATCAGCACTGTCCTGCACGCAGGCGCTGGTGTACAGTCGCGCTGCGTTGCGCGCGGATGCCGCGGCGTAGACAGGCGCTGTGGCGTGCACAGGCGCCGCGGTGCGCGCAAGCATTGTGGTGTGCGCGGGCGCTCTGTTGCACATGGTTGTTGCGGTGTACACGTGGACGCCGGCGCTGTAGCGTGCGCAAGCACTGCGGTGTGCACAGGCGCTGCGTTGCACGCGATTCTTGCGGCGTGCGCAGGCGTCGTGGTGTTCGAGCGCGTCGTGGTGCACGCGAGCAACGTGTGCAAAGGCGCAGTGGGGCATATCGCCACCTGCATTTCGCTCGCGTCGTCGTCGTCGTCTTCGTCGTCGTCGTCGCTCGTCGCTCGTCGCGCGTCGCGCGTCGCGCGCGCGGGCGCGGCTGTGGCGCCGGAGCCGCGCGGCGGGGGGGGGGGCGTTGCGTCATGCCCCCCCCCCATGACGCCCGTCATCGCCGAACATAAAGAAACGCTCTCGTAGGGGCGAACGACGTGATACCCGCCCCCCCTCTCAGAAATCGCGGGGGGCAGGAGCGGGGTTCGCGCGTGGCCCCCCATCGGCGGCAATTCGTCGCCGACGTCGGCGACGCGTCGCCGACGCGTCGTCGACGCATCGGCGACGCGTCGGCGATGCGGCGCGATCCTCCGACCCCACCGGCTCCGACCCCGCCGAGGAGGCCTGTGCCAACGCCCCCCCGGACTCCCGGCTCGTGGCGCGATCTCGGGAGGTCCTCGGGGGCGCGCTCGCGGGCCCGAGGGGGCTCCCTCTCTTAGGTTCCCAGGAGTGCAAACGAACACGAATTATGTTACGAACCATGCTCAAACATATGTTGAACATGAATTATGTAAAACGTGTGTTTTAACATAAAAAAGGTATGCAATAACATAATTTATGTAAAACACATGGTTTAGACAATTAACAAATACATGATAATTGTGTGATTGTGTAACATATGTGTTGTAACCTGTGTGATGTAGTGTTTGTTGTAACGCAGTAGATCATATTATAAGGTGTTTGGGCGTGCTGGTGTTAAACGAAGCCTGTTGCGCATTTGGGTTTGACCGCGATGGGTCTGCTTTGTCCCTGCTGGATCAAGCTTGCTACGTGGTGTCTGCTGATCGTCGAGCAACGCGCACATATGGCACAACCAATCGAGCAACAACCCCATGATAAATCGATGCTCTTGCATCCTCATGCTCCCCGCTCAGTGCGCGAGGCGTTCGGAGAAAGCGCGGGCGGGCGGAAAGTGGCGGAAGGAGGGGGGGAGGAGGAAGAGGAGGAGAAAGCTGAGGAGGAGGAGGCGGAGGATGAGGACGGGGAGACGGGGAAACGGGGAGACGGAGGAGGAAATCTATGAGGTGAGGTTGCGAGAAAAACGAGGGGGATGAAGGAACAGGTAGGAAGAGGAACAGGACAGAGGAAGCGACGAGCTAGGATATGGTTGCCTCCCGATATTTCTGAGCGCAGCATCGCGGGGCACGTGTCGGGGTGGGTCACCCGATCATCGCCTCGAGCTCCGCATCGCCATGCGGAAACAAACTGTTAATTGGCACATGGGGTTGCCAAGGGGGGCAACGGCACGGCGGCCAAAAAAAGGTCCAGGATCGAGCTTCTCCTCTACCCCCAGCGGCTTCCAGATCTGCGGGGGGGGGGGAACGACATCGTTCTCCAGCAGTTTTGAGGGCCAGAGGGGTGGGAGGACGAGAAGAAAGGGGAGGGTGAGGAGGACTAGGAGGAGAAGGCGGAGGAGGAGGAAGCGAGAGGGGGAGGAGGACGAGGAGGAGGAAACCGGGGGAGGAAGAGGATGACGAGAAAGATGAAAGCAGGAGGAAAAGGATGATGGATGAGGAGGAGGCGAAGCAAGGAAGGGAGGAGGAGGAGGAGGAGGAGGAGGAGGAGGAGGAGGAGGGAGGAGGAGGAAGAGGAGGAGGGGAAGGGGAGGGGGGTGGAGGAGAGGGAGGAGGCAGAGGAGGAGGAGGAGGAGGCACCAGCCAGGGTCCTCAGGCCCCTCATCAGTGTTTTCTCGTATTCCTCCTCCTCCCCCATCTCTCCTCCTCCTCCTCCTCCTCATCCCCCTCCTCCTTATCCTCATGTTCGTATGTTTCCTCCTGTTCCTCCTCCTCCTCCTCCTCCGATTGCTGCTCGTTCCCTCCCTTCCATCCTGCCTCATCTTTCCCCTTGGGGTACCTGCCTAAAAACCTGCAAGATAACGATGTCACAATTTCTGACACGGCCGCACGACTCGCAGGTAATTTGCCATCTCGCGCAACCCGTCCGCAATGTCTTGCGCTTCCTGGTTGTGGGGGCGACTGGTGGGAGGAGGAGGAGGAGGAGGAGGAGGAGGAGGAGGAGGAGGAGGAGGAGGAGGAGGAGGAGGAAAGAGGAGGATGAGGAGAAGGAGGAGGAGGAGGACAAGGAGGAGGATGAGGATACGGAGGAGGAGGAAGAAGATGCGGAGGAGGAAAAGGAGGAGAAGGAGGAGAAGGAGGACGACGACGAGGA